ATTCCTAAAGCGTCTGATTTCCTTTTCTCCAGAGCACACTCAGGTAAATGGACATAGTTCCCTAAAGGCAGGGAAAAGGGCTAACACTATAGATTTTTTGGCAATGTACTGGGGTCCTTGCTCAGGGGGACTTGACTTCCCTTTCATTCAAGTGGCTCTGGGTCTGTAAACTGGCTCAAGTCTGTAAACAGGAGCCATGACTCTTTCATGATTTGTTACATTTTGTTCACTTGACCTAAAACTCTTGCATTTATATAAATCAAATAAGAATTTAGTAGTCTTTCCATCTATTTCATTAATCCTCCCCATGGCTATGGCATTTGCAAGGGATTGGATGGTGTTAGAAACAAAAAGTGAACTGACATTATGCTCAAACCAACTAAGCTACTAACTGATCAGAATCAAAGGTGTCGATACATCATTTTATTCCAACAGTATTTTTGGTTTTAGGATTGAATGTAGTGTCCAGTCTGGGGAATTTGTAAGGAAAAAAGTAAGAATTCTTACACTGAATTAAAACTAAATGAGGCTCAATTCAGTCCTCTAGGATCTTCTCCCTCCCCCTCCGCCTCATAAAATGAAAAGCAGTTTGGCAAGAATAGCTTTGGCAAGCGGAGAGAACTGTGCCAGGCTTAGTGGGGGTTGGACTTTAATAGGAAAAAGAGTGAGCATTATAGTCAGGGAAGAAAAAGGAATGAGCAAGGCAGGGTAGGAAGGTTACTTATATAAGATATCATTTGCCAATACCTTAAATAACTGGACCTTAAGGGGTCATTTTGTATTGAGAATGCACCATAAAAATCAGTGTTGTAGAGACCTTAATTTAAAGGGTGGATTGGGAGGCCCCAGACTATGCACTCTCTACTGCACCAATCTGTGCGCACAATGAGGGCCTAGACCAGTGAGGGGCCAGCAACAGATACATTGCCAAAGAAACCAAACCAGGCTTACTTAGGCCAAACAGAATAAAAAACCAATTTTGCTTTCTTCAGTTTAAATTTTATTTTTTCTACCACCTTTTATCCCCTCTATCACCTCCACGTATCCCCCTCCACCCCCACAATCACCACACTGTTGTCCATGAGTGTTTTCCCTCAACCCCCTAACCCACTCCCTGCTGTCTGCCTGTTCTCTGAACGTGTCTCTATTTTGCTTGTCAAAACCCCCGATTTTCAAGCCCAGGTGTGGTAGACAGAATGGTCCGCAAAGATGTCCAAGTCCTAACTGCCAGACCCTGTGAATATGGTAGTTTATTGCAAGGGAAATTTAAGATTGCCAATCAGTTGATTTTAAAACGGGGAGATCATCCTACATTACCTGAGTGGCCCAATGTAATCACAAGAGTCCTTAAATGGAAGAGAGAAAGAGATGTGACAACAGAGCATGGTCAAAGGGACGCTATGCACCAGCTCAAAGATGCAGGAAGGGAACCACGAGTCAACAGTGCAGGTGGGTTCTAGAAGCAGGAAAAGGGAAGAGCCTCCAGGAAATAATGCGGCTCTGCTGACACCTGGATTTTAGCTCAATGAAGTATTGAACTGTCAGAGAACAACTCTGTGCTGTTTTAAACCACTAAGTTTCATGTACTTTGCTACAGCAATAGGAAACTAATACACTATGTGAGGAGAAACACATAGGTTGAGAAAGAGGAACAATTTCAGGGTTTAGCTCCAGGGTTAATTCAACTTTTTAATTCAACTTAAAAAGTACCCCCCCCTTCATTTTGTGATGCTTATAGATCAGATTTGTGATGCTTACAGATCAGAATTCCGATTTGTGATTAAATACATCACAATTCATGCAAATTAATGAAAATTGGTCACCTAGAATATAATGGCATCAAGACCATGAATGTTGAGTGAAAGATACAATTTTTTTTTAAGTTGTTTATTGATTTTGACAGAGAGGGTGAGGGATAGAAACATTGATGTGAGAGCGAAACATCTATCAGCTGCCTCCCACACACCCCCTACTGGGAATTTAGCCCACACTGAGGCATGTGCCCTGACCAGGAATCAAACCTGCAACCTTTTGGTGCACAGGGTGATGCCCAACCAACTGAGCCATACCAGCCAGGGTTAAGATGATGTAACAATTTTTATTCCCCTGCATATTAAGTAAAATCAATGGTTTGAGAATTCATTAAAAATAATTATAATTACATAGAAAAATAAGAAAAATGTAAAGTGAGCATAATATTGATTGGAGAGGTATGCTATTGAATAGGAGGCAAAATTATCAATGTTAAAAAAATAAGTTATTAGGTCTTAAAGTAATGGCACAGCCCACCCTAATCCCGTGGTCGGCAAACTGTGGCTCGTGAGCCACATGCGGCTCTTTGGCCCCTTGAGTGTGGCTCTTCCTAAGCCTTAGGAGTACCCTAATTAAGTTAATAACAATGTACCTACCTATATAGTTTAAGTTTAAAAAAATTGGCTCTCAAAAGAAATTTCAATCATTGTACTGTTGATATTTAGCTCTGTTGACTAATGAGTTTGCCGACCACTGCCCTAACCGTTTGAGGCAAAAAGAAAAGGGAAGTCAACACTGAGATGAGCCAAAAACCTGGTGGTTTAAACAAATAGGGGTAAGGTCTCAAGGCCAAAACTATGCATGTCACCACCACATACCCTAGTATAATATCCTCTGGTTCTCAACCTGTGGGTCGTGAACAATGAAAATACATCCTGCTTATCAGATATTTATATTACAATTCATAACAGTAGCAAAATTACAGTTATGAAGTAGCAACGAAAATAATTTTATGGTCAGGGGTCACCACAACATGAGGAACTGTATTAAAGGGTCGTGGCATTAGGAAGGTTGAGAACCACTGCGTCTATACTATGATGATATTATGAAAAAGCCACATCAAATAGCAAGTCATGGGATCTAGTTGGCACCACCTTGAGCAAAGAATTCTGTGAGAAGTTTGCATCAAAAAGTGTGAAATCTTGCCCTAACCAGTTTGGCTCAGTGGATAGAGCGTCGGCCCGCGGACTGAAGGGTCCCAGGTTCGATTCTGGTCAAGGGCATGTACCTTGGTTGCAGGCACATCCCCAATAGGGGGTGTGCAGGAGGCAGCTGATCGATGTTTCTCTCTCATCAATGTTTCTAACTCTCTATTCCTCTCCCTTCCTCTCTGTAAAAAAAATCAATAAAATATATTTTTTTAAAAAGTGTGAAATCTTAAGGCATAAAGAATCTATGCACATAATATGGTTGGTTTGAGACTGCAGGCTTCAAAAGAGTTTCTGGGTACTGAAGACCCTTTGTTTTTCCATTCATAATTTTAATCAAATCAGTATAACAAAAACGACAACTGTATATGAAAGATATCTTATCTGCCCAACTTGTTGGCATTATCCCTAGAAGGAAACTTCAGAACTAGAAACTTGTTCTTGAGGTGTCCAGTGTAAATTGACAACTACTCAGTGCTTTCCCTGCCTAACTATGCTCACCAAAGTGATAAATCTGAAGCTTCGAAGACCTTCCCAGTATTATCTAACACTGTCTTCCCAATTGGCATGTTAACTTGGATGCCATTAAACAAAAAACACTCCTGTTCAAAAATGTCCAGAAATGGCTCAACTAAAGCTAGTATTTCAATCTGGCTATCCATCAGAATCCTAACAGCGTGAAATGTTTCACATTGTTTAAATGAAGCAGCCAGGATAACCACTGAATTTAAACAACCTTTAATAAATTATGTGCACTGATGAGATTCTCCACAAGGAACACCTATATAGTGATTCCCTAACTTACGTGACCACGGAACTTTGAGAAAACAGAGCTGAGAGAATGCTGCTCCAGATATGACAAAATTAGTATGCTGAAAACAAGTGGAAATAGGAAAGAGTAACAGAAATTGGACATCATACAATGAAAAAGAAAACACACACATGAAGATGTTGGTGACATGAAAACCTTTGTTTTTAATTCGGTTGATACACATTTGAACAAAATATTTTAGAATAGAATAATCCATGAACAGGCTCAAGGTATTTACAGTAACAACTTTAAAAACAAAAATGGATACATTCTCAAACAGAAATGTCTTTATAAAATTTTCTATGGTGACTCTGGAAGACTTTCAATTCCTACTCATTACCCTGATGTGAAGCTCCAACAGGTGGCACATAAGGCCCAGGAGTAGGAGGTACATCTCTAACACATTTGGCAATTAAGGATCATCTATTGGTGTGAGCTCACAGGGAAGTGAAGGGCCAGATCTCGGGATAAGATACAGAATGGAAGACTCCAACGCAAACAACTAAGGACAAGACCTAAAATCATACTCACCTTTCTCAGTTTCCTATAGGAGAAGGCTGCAAATAGTTTTTTATACTTACTCAATTTTCTCCCTTTTAGCAGAAAATCAGCAACCCTGAGACTCCAATTTTCCAAGACATAAAAGTTAATAAACATCTAGAAACTCTCTGTTCAAGATTTATAAAAATGATCAAATAGAAACTTCAAAATAACTTTTATGATCGGAAAATACTTTTAAGGAAAAAGAACAAAATCCCTCAAAAATGTCTTGCTTGCCCTAACCGGTTTGGCTCAGTAGATAGAGCATCGGCCTGTGGACTGAAAGGTCCCAGGTTCGATTCTGGTCAAGGGCATGTACCTTGGTTGTGGGCACATCCCCAGTAGGAGGTGTGCAGGAGGCAGCTGATCGATGTTTCTCTCTCATCGATGTTTCTAACTCTCTATCCCTCTTCCTTCCTCTCTGTAAAAAATCAATAAAATAAAATTTTAAAAAATGTCTTGCCTAATTCTTAAACATTCCAACTAGTAATTTCCATGGTATGAAATGAGTTTCACAAAAAAGATACACTTTTTAACTAGATTATTTTAAATTGAGTACAACTGGCTCTTGCTTGTTAAATGAATGCCTATATCTTCATATTATTCAAATATACTTAAAAGAGATTAGATATGTTATCCATCTAGAATATACAGTCTGAATTGATAACAACATAAACAGAGACCATGAAAAAGATAACAAATGTCTATTCTGTGAACACTATTGAGACAAACACTATACACCATACATAGCAACATCTACTGACCCAACTAGGCTATTCAACTTATACTTTCAACAAACAACTTTGTAGAGCATGTAGCCACTGTTTTCAAAAGTCAAATCTGCTGCTCTTCTAGTGGTGGTTCAAGAGCTTCCATTAGCTTTTTGTTTGCCTCTTCATTGTGCCGACTTTGACAATGAGTTAAATGTTTCTTAAAGCCTCTTGGGAAATTTGATTCAAAATTACATCGTGGACATTTAAGTAAACTTTGCCCATGGGCTGCTACATGATTTTTAAGGAGAGATTCCAAAAGAAAAGCCTTTCCACAAATTGTGCATTTGTAAGGGCTATGGACATTATGCTTATTAACCAAATGATGCAAAACAGCACCTTTTTTCATAGCACGACAACAACAAATTTTGCAATAATACTTTCCTTTTCCACGCTTCATATATTTGGCAATCTCTTCTTCAGATATAAAAGCCTCCTTTTCTTCAGTAAACTGTAGTACATTTTTGGACTGCTCTGGACTAGTCATGTCCATTTTGTTCTCTTTACTAAAATCAAGAGATTCCACATCAACTTGCTCTTGATCACTGCTTGATTCTTGGCCCTTACTATCTATTGCTTCCAAATCTGTTTTTATATATTCACTACTACTAAGCTCAGCATCAGAGTTCTCTTGGTTGTCTTTCTTGAGCTTCTTTGAGGCAGGAAATAAAGTGTCTTCTAAGAGTTTCTTAGGTGTAGCTAGTTCTTCCTGAACCAAAATATCACACTTTTGATCATCTATGGCATCTGTCTGCAGTTCATCTCCCAATTCAACTGCCTTTTGAGATTCTGGGAACACAGCAGATTTGGAAAGTTCAGGGAAAAGGGTATGTTTCCGTGGCTCTGGAAAAAGAGCGCGTTTTCGTGGTTCAGGAGAAGCAGGAGGGGCTGTTTTGGTAGGCTCAGAAAACAGGGCGAGTTTTCTAGGCTCAGTATCAATAGAAAGAACGGGCTTCCAAATATCGGAGGCTGCTTTAGGCGACTCAGATGGCCCAGAAGGTTTCCGGGTCTCAGGGAAGACAGGTTTCTGAGGTTCAATAAAAAAGGAAGACTTCCAGAGATCAGGGGAACCACCACGGGAACTTTTCTGGAACTCTGGAAAATCGAGTGAAGCAGGAGGAGTCTTCCGCTGATCAGGAGAAAGCTTCCAAAACTCTGGCGATCCTGAGGGTTTTCTGAGCTCTGGAGATCCTGCTGGACTTCGAATGTCAGGGGACAACGGTGGGCCTGGTTTGCGAAGCTCAGGAGACAAGGGGGGTCCTGCTTTACGGAGCTCAGGAGACACTGGGGGAACTGTCTTCCAATGTTCAGGTGACAAGGTGGAAGCTGTCTTTCTCAGTTCTGGTGGGCCAGACTTCCACGACTCAGGAGATGCGGGGGGGGATTTCCAGGAACCAGGTGAGACTGATGAAGACTTCCAGGACGCAGGGGACATAGAAGGAGTTGGTTTCCAAGGTCCAGGTGATATAGAAGGAATTGGTTTCCAAGGTCCAGGAGACACAGATGGAGCAGGTTTAGCTGGCTTCCAGGGTCCTGATGCTGAAGGACTGGATTTCCAAGACCTGGGGGACCCAGGTGGCCCTGGCTTCCAAGAACCCGGTGACACAGCTGGGGCTGGTCTCCTAGGCTCTGGAGAGACAGCAGGGAATGGCTTCCAAGGTTCAGGAGACACTGACGGGGATGGCTTCCTTGGCTCAGGGGAGACTGTCCGGGCTGGCTTCCGAGACTCTGGAGATGCAGTTGGGGACAGACCCAAGGTTCAGGAGAAGCAGCAAGAACTGGTGACTCTGGAGAGGAGGCTGAAGGTGGCCCCAATGTTTCTGGGAAATGGGAGTGTTTCTGAGGTTTGGGATTAATAAGAGCAGCCTTTACTGGCTCAGGAGATACAGGAGCAAGTTTCTGTGGTTCTGGAGAAGGAACTGGGACTGGTTTCTGAGATTCAGAAACAATAGGGATTGATTTTGAAAGTTCAGGAGAAGAAACAGGGGTAGTTTTTGGTGGCTCAGGAGAAGGAAGAGAAGGTGTCTGTGGCTCAGGAGAAACATGGCCAGGCTTCTGAGGCTCCAAGGAAGTAAGAGGAGTAGGTCTGGGTGATTCTGGAGACAAAACTGGGTCAAGTTTCTCTGTTTCTATGGAAAGGGCAGGTACAGATTTCTGGAGTTCTGAATTAGGGGGCATTTTCTGGTGTTCAGGAGGAGGAGGGCTTTTCACAGAATCTGTTTCTTTGTTTAACTGATTTTTTGGTTTCTCATTCCATTTCTCTGGGGCTGCATGTTTGGATGTGATGTGATAGTATACATTAGAGTACATCTTGCTGGTGAAGAAGCATTTATGGCAATGAAATAGCTTTGCACTTTTCTGGTAAAATATCATTTTACCTAACCCACCAGCATCCATTTCATCACAAAATTCTGGATGGATGGTGCCCATGTGGATTTGTACATTTTCATAATCCGTGCCTCTGAAATTACAGTGGTCACACTCCAAACGTACTGATGGTTTACGAAGTTCCTGAAATACTTCCATTTTTCTTTCTGTTACAACACACACAGTTATACTCTTTAAAAACTTTCAATAGTGCTGAAATAAAGTAGAAATAAATTATTTTCAGGGAACATAATCTTGAATGAACTGCTATTCTAGCCCATTCTAAAACTGCATATTTTTAAGCATAGGATGGCGCACATATGCATTTATTCAATAATATATCTATAAAAGATTTTTAAGAAAAAATGCAACTAATTTTTAACTGAGTTCCAGGAACTCTGCTAGGTTTACATACATCATCCTTTTAATCTTCTTAATAATCTGACTCAAGTATTATTTTGTTCATTTAGAGATGAAAAACCTGAGGTTCAGATTAGTGACTTAACCAGGTTATGAAACTATTAGTGACCCAAGCCTTACCCCAGAATTATGTACTTCATGTGCTATATACCCTGACTCTAAAACCCCAAATATCAACAAGCTATCTGTGTACAAAGCTAAGTAAATATCAAAATACAAGTTAGGCTATTTAAGGCTGAGCAAGAAACTTTAAATCTATTTCAAAAATCACTTGTTAAATTAAGTGTAACTATGAAAACTCCATAAATTTTTTAAAAATTTATATATGTATTGATTTTTGTGAGAGAGAAAGAAACATCTATTTCTTGATCCACTTATTTATGCATTCATTGGTTGATTTTTGTATGTGCCCAGACCAGAGATCGAACCCACAACCTGTTGTTATCAAGATGATACTCTATGCCCTAACCGGTTTGGCTCAGTGGATAGAGCGTCGGTCTGCAGACTGAAGGGTCCCAGGTTCGATTCCGGTCAGGGGCGTGTACCTTGGTTGCGGGAACATCTCCAGTGGGGGGTGTGCAGAGGGCAGCTGATTGATGTTTCTCTCTCATCGATGTTTCTGGCTCTCTATGCCTCTCCCTTCCTCTCTGTGAAAAATCAATAAAATATATTTAAAAAAAAAAAAAGATGATACTCTAATCAACTGAGCTACCCGACCAGGGCTCATAGATCTTAAAAAAAAAAAAATCAGCATATTTTATATTTTTTCCATCTTAATATAAAGTATTTGATTCATTTATTTAATAAATAAATTATTTTGTGTCCCATGCTTTTCTAAGCACTCAGGGGTAAAGGGGTGTTTTGCAATATGATGCTTTCATTGGTAGGGATGTAAGAGTGTAGAGGGCAACATAAAGAAAGCTGTCAAGGAGACATTCAAGCAGAGATTTTGAATAACATGCCATCCTAGGCTTAAAATTATTACTTGAGCAGAGATGCTGCCCTTACCAAGCAAAGGGCAATTTAGATTGAGGACAGCCTGGAGGCAGGAACTTGCTTGCCAGAAAATAGAACTTTTTAAAATTTTAAGTGAGACTTTTTAGGTGATTAAAGTAACAAAAGCTCAGGTGAAACATACTCATTCATACAGTATATAATACTCACACAGTATCACTCCCCAGGTAGCCCCGTACTTACATGTGATTGAAGAAATGTTCTATGTATACACAAATGCATAAACACATTCTATACAAATGGGATATTAAACATATTGTTCTGCAATCTGCTTTCATTTAAGGAAAAGAAGGTGTCCCTCTGGCTCAAGAGAAATTACAGGGCCAGGTTTCTGAAGTTCCAAAGCAAGAAGAGTAGGTTTTGTGATTCTAGAAATAAAATTGGGCCAAGTTTCTGGCAGGTAGAGGTTTCAGGAGCTCTGCTGAATTAGAGGGCATTTTTTTTTTTTTTAGAGGATCCTGTAGAGGGCATTTTCTAGGACATTTTTACATACAGAGATAAGCACTGAATTTCTTTGTACATATCTTTGAATGTAAGGGTACTTCTGAAGGGAGAATTCCTAGAAATGGATTACCATGTTCAAAGGCTAGTTACATTAAAATTGACACATTATACCAAACTCTCAAAAAGTCACAGCACTATTGCATACCAATTAATAGTGTACATATGAGGGACAATTCATAAATTCCTCATCAACACTGAGTGTATCATTAAATTTCTAATCTTTACTATTTCTTAGGTGAAAACCAGTATCTCACTACTGTTTTAACGTGCTTTTCTTTAATGAGAAATGGACATTTTTCCTTGCTGATTAGCCATGTATATTTCTTTTCTAGGATATGCTTTGTCCATTTTTCTTAATTACTTATAAATTGTCCTTGTATATAAAAGAAATCAAACTTTTAACTATAGGAACTTTTCTTAACTTCTCAAGCAGTAATTCATATACAGTTTGGAGAAAGTACTTTTATTTTTTCATTTCAAAGCAGCACTTACTTAGCTTCATCTCTCCTCTTTGCATTAAGGATAGTCCCATTAACAAAACAATTTTCTTCCTTTCCTATATGCTGCCCATCAACTTTTATCAATAATAACTCATATAATCTATTAATCATCAAAAAGTCCAGTAATTGTATAATACAGGGCTTAGATTATAAACCTTAAGGGCAAAGCACTTTTTCTTCTATTCCCACAGAAATGTCTGAGCACACTGTTTTATTGTCAGGAAAATTTTTAAAAATGCTTCTGGCAAACTTCTCAAATAAAAAACAAAATAAAACAAAACCACATCTCATAAATGGACGTCTCTAACACAGTACAACAGTAGAGAGTTGGTCTCCCTTTGGGCACATACTCTTTCCCGATTGCTATCCCAGACTTGTGGTCCCTTTCAGTAGGCAAAGCTCTACAACCTCTTCTCCTTATTTCTCCTTTCCATTGACTCAATTTCTCCCTTTTTTGCCTTTTTGGAAAGTTTATACTAACCCTACATTTTATAGCTACTCCTGCAATTTAGTTCCTGTTTTTAATACCATTTAGCCTAATTCCAGCTGCTCTTGCCTCAAACATCCTCCAGCCACCTCAGTTTCTTGGACTACTTTTGTCCTCAACTGCTGCCTGCCAAATCTGTCCATTCACCAGCTCCCCACCCTTCACGTATGGCCACTCAGTAAATACATCATCCATTCTCATTCCCTTTCAGTCTGTATTAAACCCTGATGGCTCCTCAGACTTCCAAATCATTCATTCCCTATCTTTCCCAAATGGCCCTCTCTCTTTCTCTTGCTACCAAAACTCTCCTAGCCAATCTCAAAGTTTCTATTACTCACACCTGCCTATTATTTAAGCCTCATTATCAAACTCTTAAAAAAAGAAGGGAGGAAGGGGGGGTGGGAGGTAATCAACCAATGACCTTGTATGCATATATGCATAACCCATGGACACAGACAACAGGGTGCTGAAGGCCTGGGGGTGGCCGAAGGGGGAAAGTGGGGAGGGGAGGGGCATGAGGGGACCAATGGGGGGAAAAAGGGGACATATATAATACTTTGAACAATGATGAACAAAAACAGATCCAGAGACTTAGAAGCATCGAACAGACCAGACTGTCAAACCTCAGAGGGAAGGCAGGGGAGGGTGGGGGTGGGAGTAAGTGATCAACCAAAAGACTTGTATCCATGCATATGAGCATGACCAATGGACGCAGACAACAGAGGGATGGGAGCGGGTGGGGAGAGGTCAATGGGGTAAAAGGAGACATATGTAAAACTTTCAACATAAAGAATTTTAAAAAAATTAAAATTAAAAAAGTGTATGTAAAACACATCTTTTAAATGTTACAGAATTTACCTCTCAAACTCCTAAGTTAGCACATGTTCATACATCATTTTATATATATGACTGTGTACACTTTTATAGAGGTTTTCCTTAAGAACTCCAAGAACCTTTCAAAAATATTCTCATCATAAAATATTCTCCTAAACATTAAAAAGCAAGAAATGTTAAAAACAAAAAAAAAAAACAAAAAGGAAAAGAAATACTGGTAAAATAAAATAACACTTTATAAATCCAAGACAAGTACTTTTACAGTGAGAAAGAAATAAAGACCAACATGCTTCTCCCTAGTAGACTTACCAGCTGTCTTACTAGAAGTCTTTAAAAAAGTCTTCAAAGGACAGCAATTTACATGGCTTTTTTACTAAACCGCAGAAAACAGCTGGAGTACATGAAGAAGGACAAAGATGAGAAGTTGAACCTAAAAATAAAAAAATAAAGGGCAGTCAAAATCCCATCTCTATGATATCTTGTGCCCCCTATAATAGAATTCTGCCTATTTCACTCACCATTGTGCCCCCCCCAACCCCCAAAAGTGAAGAATCCAATCCAATCAGCCTGGTACTTATTTTAATGAAATGACACCAAATACTATCCACAACACCATTCCTGTCTAATTCCACTTTAATAATCCACCATGTATATAACCAAACCCTTCTCCATCCTTCCCTCTATTCCCTACACCTTGTCAACTACTTTAATTCTGACACCTTATCTCCCTGCCACTAGTCTTACTTCCTTCCAATCCATTCATCATACTGCTACCAGTCATCTTCCAAACATAAAAACCTAATGTGACTTGCCTGCTCACAATTTCTCAAGGTAATTCTAACACCAATGGCACAAAATTTGAACATTGTATATAAAGCTTTTCACAATCTAGCCCCTGACTACACTGCCTTCTTCTCACCTGTAATTCCCTGACAATTCAAGCTTCTGGGCCTTTACACAGGTATTTCCTCTCCTTCACATCCACATATTGCAACCCAGTAATCAGGCAAGTTCCTCCATCCTTTAGGAGGGATTGTTTCTTAAATACTGGAAATATCTCCACCCTCTCCAATCTTCCTTGGACCCCCTGCTGTATACACATCTCTACAGAATGGTCATCTCATACCAGGCTGTGGGCTCTTGGAGAGCAGGGACTACCCATTCCCCTCTGTAACCCTTGCACTTCCCTGGCATATGGTATATGCCAGGGGTGGGCAAACTTTTTGACTCGAGGGCCACAATGGGTTCTTAAACTGGACCGAAGGGCCGGAACAAAAGCATGGATGGAGTGTTTGTGTGAACTAATATAAATTCAAAGTAAACATCATTACATAAAAGGGTACGGTCTTTTTTTTTAGTTTTATTCATTTCAAACGGGCCGAATCCGGCCCGCGGGCCGTAGTTTGCCCACGGCTGGTATATGCTCAGAAAGTATCTGTTCAATCTCACACACTCTGTCATAAAGACTGGAGCCCTGATCTTACATTCACAGAATTTTAAAACTAGAAAAGACCCAAGCTATGATCTAGTCTTAGAGCCATTGGATTTTAGAACAAGAGAAGACCTCAAGGACCATCTACTTTAACACTTCAATTTATACTTGAGGAAACTCAAACTTAGACATTAATTTACTCAAGGTAAGGCAAATAATCAGCATGTGGTGATCAGAATAAACTTCTGCTATCTATCCAAGTTCTATTTTATCTTGACCAACTTAATACAGTGGAATTTCATAAGATCTTGGAAAGCCAATACAATGAGTCAAAATCAACAAAACAAACTTTATCAAACATTTAGAACCCAAATATCAATTGCAGAACATGGCACTATAGAGAACTGCATTCCATATTCTGCATTTGGCAGAATATCCCAGTGGATCACTGTCTCCAGCTCTGGGCAGGAAGGGCACTTTAAGAGAGTCCCTAACACTAGGGAACTTGTAAATGAAAGCAAGCAGGATGGCGGGCATGAAAACATGTCATTTGTGAGCACAGGCACTTAACTTCAAAAGTGGGAGAATTATGGATAATATGTAAGCTGCCCTAGAAGCAACAAGTGGAGCCAGTAGGAAAACAGATGTCAGTTCAACATATCAAAATTTATGAACTACTCAATCACAGACAAATAAGTTGCTTTCTGGGGGAGGTGCCCTCCATAACAGGAAGCCAATGATCAGGACAGGACTGGAAGGATCCTCAAAGCACTTGAGTCCAACATCTTCACTTTATAATTGAGAAAACTGATGCTCAGTGAGAGAAGTGACTTGTGAAAGATCACACGAATTAGGTCCAAAGAAGCAACAGAAGACCCTGGCTTCCTGATTCTGGATCTATTTGTAACGCAATGCTGCCTTTCCCACAGGGGTGTTTCAGAATGAGTCCAGAATTCAGCTGCTGGGTAGAGACTAGGCACTGAAATTCCTATTATTTCTCCTATTATTAACATCCTGTATTAGTGTGGTACATGTTCCAAATGACAAATACCAATATTAACTAAAGTCCACAGTTTACATTAAGGGGTCACTTTACATGTTTTATAGTTCTACTAGAGGCCCAGTGCATGAAATTCGTGCACGGGTGTGTGTGGGGGGAGGGGGGGTGTCCCAGCCTGGCCTGTGCCCTCTCGCAGTCTGGGACGCCTCGCTCCTTACCGCCTGCTACTGCTGCTGTGCTCACCAGCTGTGAGCCTGGCTTCTGGCCGAGTGGCGCTCCCCCTGTGGTAACACATTGACCACTAGGGGACAGCTCCTGCATTGAGCGTCTGGCCCCTGGTGGCCAGTGCGTATCATAGTGACTGATCATTCCACCACTGGGTCAATTTGCATATTAGCCTTTTATTATATAGGATGGAATTCCTAAATGTCAACTATCCACCATTACAGATTCCTACAGAATACTTTCACTGCCATAACAATTCCCTGTGCTCAGAAACACCACTGATTTTTTAAAAAATATATTTTATTGATTTTTTACAGAGAGGAAGGGAGAGGGATAGTTAGAAACATCGATCAGCTGCCTCCTACACACCCCCTACTGGGGATGTGCTCGCAACCAAGGTACATGCCCTTGACCGGAATTGAACCTGGGACCCTTCAGTCCGCAGGTTATCCTTCTATCCACTGAGCCAAACCGGTTAGAGCCACTGATTTTCTTTTTTTTACTGTCTCTGTAGTTTTGCCTTTTCCTATACACTTTTTAAAACTGTAGTAAAAGATAACACAATTTTCCATTCTAACCATTTTTTAAAAGCACAACTTAGTGGTATTAACTACATTCACAATATTGGAAAACCATCACCATTATCCATTTCCAGAATTTTTTTATCACCACATACAGAAACTCTGCACCCACTAAACAATAACTTCCCTTCCTCCCCTCACCCCCACCAGCCCCTGGTAATCTCTACCCCATTTTCTGCCTCTGTGAGGGGAATCATACATGTGTCCTCTTGTGCCTGGCTTATTTCACTTAGCACACCTACACTACAGCATGTCACCGAATTTTAGTCCTTTTCAAGGGTGAAAAACGTTTTGTCTCCCACTCATGTGTTGGCAGACATTTGGGTTGTTTCCTCCTTTTGGCTACTTTAAGTAAGGCTGCTCTGCACGCGTGTGCGCAATGTCCATTTGAGTCCCTGCTTTCAATTCTTTGGAGTTTACACCTTGGGGTGAAATCGCTGGATCATATAATAACTCTCTGTCTAAATTTCCGAGGAACCACTACTCAGCGGTGGGCCACGGCTCCTGGCTGCACCATGTTACATGCCCGCCAGCAACTGCCCAAGTGCTCCCATTTCTCCACACCCTCGCCACCAATAGTGATTTTCCCCCGAATAGTCATCCGAATGGGTGTGAGGTGGTATTCGTTCTGGTTTTCATTTTCATCACTGATGGTGAAGGCGCATCCTTTGATGTGCTCACCGGCCATTTGTATATCTTTTTTGGAGAAATACCTACAGTCCTGTGCCCAGTTTTGAATTGGACTGCTTTCTGTTGTTGAGTTTAGGTTCTTTACATGTTCTGGACACGAATCCCTTACCTGGTTCATGACTACATTTCTCCCATTCTGAGGATTGCCCAGCTGTTTTTCAAACAATGACAAAAGCCCACGCCGTCTAGGGGCGGAGAACCCTGCATCCGGGACCGAAACAAGAATGCGCGCCCCGAGAGCCAGAACCGAATTCCCTGCAGGGTTTAAATAAAACATTACCTGCTTCCCCACCCTCCAGTCCCGCGGCGTCCTCTCCGCCCGCGGCCTCTGGGGAGCGGGTCCTTCCGCCAGCCGGGCGGGAGC